TCAGAGCTAAGCATAGTGGGCAAGGGGATTTTGGGAGACCACCTAAGTAGCATGGAACCCCACCTTGGTATGAAGACATGTCACATTGAGGTATATGGGCCCCAGTCAGCTCTGGAGAGTGAAGCTCCCAGTGCAGAATACTGTATATTACTGGTACCCATGGATTGCCAAGGTCATTGGCTGATTCAACCTCACAATACTCTTGCATGGACTTCCATTCAGAATTGCTGAAAATTGGGGCGAGCATCAGGCCTTGATCACTGTTGAAACAGGCTGCCTCCACTTTATATACTGTGAAGAGGAGGGAGATATATGGAAGGGAGAAGAAGTAGAGTAATTCACCTGAACCTCTATATATAACCGATGTGTTTCTGTCTCTGCTTAGTGAAAGGTGAGGGCTTCTTCTTCTTCTTGTGCTGTTGAGGGTTTGCTAACCAGCATTAAGCTAAAGATCTTGGGGGTTCGCCCTTGCTCGTCCAATTAACCATTTGATTCCTGAAAGCAGCCTTTCTGTTGCATCTAACTTTGCTAAGCCATGTCAGGCCCAGAGAGTCTAAAAGGAAATTATACGCCATGACCATCTGAGTCTGTAAACAATATGGCTTCTTGCCACTGATGAGTGCAGAGCAGCAAGCCAAACCAATCAATCTGTCAGCTTAAAAGCAGGAAATGCAAGGATATGCAAGATGTTCTCGGGTGCTGGTTGAGCCTCAACTAAGTACAAATAACAGCAACACATCATGGTTTCCATCCAACCTGGTTTGCTTGTGTGACTCCCGATGCAAATCTTCATCTGTTTGCTAGCTCATGAACGTGATGTTGGCTCACTGCAAAGCAAACCTCCAAACAGCCTCTTGTCAGACTTAACATCTTAAATACAAAATGGAGCAGGTATTTGTCTCCTAGTCGGCTCTGTTGGAAGCAGAACTGACCAGAGTTACGGGAAAAAGCAGTCTTTCTGAATCAGTTTGTCAAATTGAATTGTTCCTGTCCCCTTTCGGACATCTCCAATCCAATTTCACAAAACCATTATATTTAAAGATACAAAAATATAGGAAAATGAACAAAGATTCTTCACACGATTGCTATAAAAGTCTTCAGCCAGATGTGAGATCTGGGCAGGTATTCTTTTTCTGTGCCAAATATTCTGAAGGGCTGTTTTGGCTTTAATGAAATGGCGAGGTAAAGGTATGAGTAGGGAGAAAATATACGATGGAGCAACATATACACCCTTCAATCACTCAAGTGAATTAATATTTCCAGACCTATTATATTCCAGTAGGAATCTCAATTCTTCCTGCAGAATTTGTAACTCCAGGGGTTTGTAACTTAATATCTGGCAAGCTGACATGATGATGATTACTGTATTTTTCGCACCATAAGACACACTTTTTTCCCACAAAACGGGGTGGTGGTGGAAAGTCTGTGCGTCTTATGGAGTGAAGAAAACAGATTATATTTTCCTGTTTTCTTCTCCTAAAAAAATGGTGCGTCTTATGGAAAGGTGCATCTTATGGAGTGAAAATGTCTTGGTTTTAACTAAAAATTTTGCAGAGCTTGAAGGAATAAGAGCCCATTACAGTAGTCATTTGATGCACCAGGATATTGTAACTCTGAGGTCCTGGAACGACTGAATATTGTAGCTTTAAAGGTATTGGAAAGACAATGAGTGCAAGCTATAGGATCTGTACACACCACCTCCCTATTTACGTATTGTAACACAAACAGTTCAGTTGTCAGGACTGATTGTAGGGTGACATAGCACAGCTGGAGAGCCAAGCAATTGTTTTGAAATGACTGTAGTAAACTAGTGTTCAAACCTCACTTTTAAAAGCATTTTCATTTTCAGGGCTACTTTTTCTTTAATTATTTTAACACTCTGTACATTTAAGATGTCACATGCTACTACCTTCAGGGCTGGAACTGTTTTGAAATGACTGTAGTAAACTAGTGTTCAAACCTCACTTTTAAAAGCATTTTCATTTTCAGGGCTACTTTTTCTTTAATTATTTTAACACTCTGTACATTTAAGATGTCACATCTTGACACCTTCAGGGCTGGAACTTAATCCTTTCCATTAAGATTACCTGCCTGGAAGAATTTAGCAGATACACGAGATTCTGTGCACAGAATCTGCTGTGCATTCAGTGAGCCAATGTCTCTTAAGTACCATTCCACGGCTTTGCTTTTGGGTTTGCAGTCTCCTCTTTTCCCCTTAACAATTCCTTTCGTCATGCATGTTGAGAACGCAAAGCATGCCTATATACGTAGCTAACGCCGGTGTGCATCATTCCTCCAACTAGCTTCATGGTGGAAAGAAACGAGAAACATGGCATATCCCATCGGTAGGTATCATTTTACCTCTAGTCTGTATTAAGGAAGAAACGAAAGAGACTTGTATCCGCTGATCTCAATGTCTGAAAAGAAATTATTGCCGATTTGAAATGAGACTCCTTTTTTTCAACTAATGAGCGGCTTTTGTATGAAGTATGCAGATTAAGGGAATACACATGTGAGTGTCTTGTGTAATTACTTTTGCTTTTATTCATCAGTGGGGAGGAGCGAAGCTCTCTGTGGAGATGTGTTCGTACAAGAGAGAAATCCATACCAAGTGCCTTCTGCTGCTTTCTTTGAAACAGGGATCAGAGCTGCACAATTTGCTGAAGAGACAAGCCTCTGTTCAGCTTGAAAGAAGGCTTGACTTTTCAGCGGTAGAAACTGCAGTGAAGGAATTAGCAAAGCAAACTTCCACTTTGCATGCCTCTCTCTTAGAAACATAGGAAGCTGTCTTATGTTGAGCAGACTATGTATCCACATGACCCCAAAGCTGCTTTGACCAATGTCAGTTTTCCAAGGTCTCGGGCAAGCAGAGATTTTCTCATCACTTGCTCCTGGATTGTTCTCACCCGAGATGCCAGGAACAGAATCTATGCAAACCATGTGCCGGTGGGAGCTGGTGACTCCAAATTAATGTCCCCAACCTTGGACCTCCAGATGTTTTTGGACTTCAACTCCCAGAAATCCTGGCCAGCAGAGTTGGTGGTGAAAGCTTCTGGGAGTTGTAGTCCAAGAACATCTGGAGGCCCAAGGTTGGGGACCACTGCAGTAGATGGTGAATCTATTAGGAGCTATCCAAAGTGCTGAATTGTGTTCCCAGAAAGATAATGTTAGTCCAAACATTATCTCTTCTAATGTTTGGACTAAAACCCAGAGTGGATATTGAATCACTGCCACAAAATCAGAGATAACAGCTTTTATTGGCTTGTGCTCTACCACTGACGTTTCGTCCGTTCCCTTCTAAAGCTGGACAGTAATCTAAAGCAGCCCACTCTGAATACTAAGGACCTAAATCCAGTTTGTAATCCCAGCTAGATTTGACCCATGAAAACAACGAGTAGATGACAAGTCAAAGCATGTGTAAATTCCAGTGACTGAATGGATCTGCTCTAGTGGGGCCCATGAGTTAGATCCAGGCTTGTTATTTGATATATTCAAAGTTGGCTGCTTTCTGAGCGATGATGACACATCCTTATTTTGGAAGCTCAATGCAACCAATTGCAATTTCCCATCCACCACCTTTTTAAAATCTCAGATCTGGTTAGAACTTGGAAGAGTTACTTCTCCCTGAAGACGTTTCTGGCTATGATGGTTGGGTGATTATGATCGTCGACATCAAAGAAAGTAAATTTTCTAACTTCGGGGGGCTGTGCAATTTTGTGCAATATTTGGCAATCCTTTTGCACAAAACATCATTCTTGCAAATGTAAGAAGTCCATAGAAAGCCCTAGGAAGTTTCTCACCATGTTCTTTCACCAAGGAGAATATTGCCGTTCTTCCTTCTTGTTTGTGAGAAGAGAAGCAAGGATTTCTACCCTCAAGGGTTCATGCCAAAAGGTTTTTGTTTTAAAATCCTTGAGGTTTTAAAACACAGTCTTGTTTTTTAAAAAACAAGACTGTTTGACCAACATCATTATCGTTGGCATCATTCCCGCTGCTAAGGCACTCCAGAATCAAGGCTCACTTTTCCAATGGTTTTAAATTTTACTTCCTTCCAATGGATTTTGAGCCTTAGAGGTGGGGCTTCAATCTTGCCAAGAAACTCCTCCCACATTGAAATCAAAATGACACCAGGGAGATGTACAAGGGCAATCAATCAATCAATCAATCAATCAATCAATCAATCAATCAATCAATCAATCAATCAATCAATCAATCAATCAATCAATCAATCAATCAATCAGTCAGTCAATCAATCAATCAATCAATCAATCAATCAATCAATCTTGACCTAGATTTTAAAAACTGGCATTTTAATACAGTAGGACCATGGTATCTGTAGAGCATTGGTTCCAAGTCCTCTGGCGGATGCTGAAAAATGTGGAAGTTTGAACACTATGCATTGCATGGTCTCTGTTTCCCTCAAGTAGCTACTTCTGCTAAAGACACCCTGGAAATACATATAGATAGATGTATTTTTTGTTGTTGGGGGGTGTTCTTTAGTCTTTTCACCCAGTGGATAAGTAAATGAGCAGAGCAGATACGGATTCCGTGGATAGGAGAGTCCTCCTGTAATCACTTATTGTCTATTCTCAACATCTAAAGACATTGCTGGTCACCTGATCCATCTTTAAGTAAAAATGGGCTTTCGAAGAGATGAATTGCCTCCAAGACCTGTTTTTCTGTTGCCTTTATCTTTGCTTCACCCGCTTGCAAACCTCCGCCCATTTTCTTAGCTTAATGCAGCAAAGGGGCCTCCGATTTCTCCACGGTTAATCCATTCTCCATTTCATCTGGCGACACACTCCTTTCCTTCCACCCGCATCCTGTGGTGTGTATGCTTTTGCTTGTTTGGATGCCCTGATTGTGAAAATGTGTTCAGAGTTGACCTACCTCTTGGCCTGGTTGGGATGAACAGGAAAGAGAAAACACGTTTGTTTTTGTTTTTATTTGTTTTTATTTTTTTGTTTTTGTCTTTTTGCTGATCTTGTCGCATTCTGCAGCTGCGTTCAGAAATGCTACTGTAAATCCAACAGGGCTAACCAGCACCCTTGCAGGATGTCAGAACTGTCCACCATTACCTTGTAAGTGTACGCGATCCTGTGGCAATATCTGTGGTCGGTGCATGTTGCTACTATGTGGTCCATAAGATGTAGTGGCCGCTGAGGGTGGCATCTGTGTTCCTTGTGCGCTGCATGTCGGCTTTGTCTGTTTCGTTTCCACTTGTGTGCTGTTTGCTGTTTGCCTGAGTAATGAAGCTGAGCGCTCAGTGTCTGAAATGTTTTGGCTCATTCAGGGGGGAAATGTTGGCTGTTGGTCAGTGTGAAGAACCATGTGCCAAATGGTCACTCATCATGGCCAGTGAAATTTATCTTTTTCAATTACATTTTGTTTTTATTTATTTTGGGATCTGCCCTGTCTTTCAAAACAGCTTCTGACATTCGGCAGAGCTACAGCAAAGAAAGCAACCCAAGTGGGGTATTTTCCCCCATCGAAACAAGGTGTAACATCTCTGTGCACCTTGTTTACAAGTAGATTCTCACACCCAGAGGACTGCTAGAAGTGCACGTCTAACTCTAAACCAGGCCTCAATGAAATGAAGAAGAAAAAAGGAAATTTTAAAAATGAAACAACCTCTTGTTTTGTTACTACAAAATTAAGGGGGTGTAGAATAGAGGAGAGAGGGTTTACATGCAGTCTGTACAGCATACATGGCCCATCCTAAATGTGTTGGTTTAATGAATTTGTTTGTTTACCTTGCCGTTCTCCCCAAGAAGGGCACTCTGCGTTTTTCTCTGTATGACTCACAAATAAAATTTGGGTGGTTTCCAAAGAGGCACTTGAAAAAATAGCCCCCCCTTCTGCTGGCTTGGCTCATTGATGGGGCCAGAGAAGGACTTCCATATTCTGTTCTTCCTGCCTTCATTGTCTCCCAAATATCCATCTCTAACTTTCCCCTTAACTGTAGAGGATGAACTGACAGTGGTAGCGGCAATAAAGCTCTCAGAAAGACTTCAAGGCATCCAGATGTGTTTCGAAAGCACCAGGATAAAAGGAAGGAAGGAAGGAAGGAAGGAAGGAAGGAAGGAAGGAAGGAAGATTAGTTCCTTTCTGCTCCACTTCATTCAAATGTATCACTTCCAGATAGGTAAAGAGAGAACTGGGGAGAAAACATTATACAGTAGGATCCCCATATCCATGGGGGATTGGTTCCAAGCACATCCGTGGAAGCTGAAAACCATGGATAACAGCAAACACTATACATAATGCGGTGAAAGAAAAATTCCAGGGAAAAAAATTAGTTTTGCATAGATTACCAGAACTGGCCTCTAGAACAAGCAAGAAACCATGCTAAGTATTCTTTAATGACAAGAATACATAACATGGTCTCTTGCTCCCTTTAGTGGGCAGTTCTAGTAAAGACATCATGCAATTAATTAATTAGTTATAATTATTTCCAGATTCGGCAAATGAACAGAATCTTCTCCTGTCTTTAGGGGAATGTCGGATTACTTTTAAATGAGTCAAAGAAGAGTCAGTCCTACGTTCCAAACCTTGCACCTAAACACGCAACTCACTGGTCATTTGTATCAGTCCTGATCACTGTTGTGAGAATGTCACGAGAACGGCTGATGGTCGGATTCCAAAGGATCTCCTGTATGGAGAATGAGTGCAGGGAAATCGCCCCAGAGGGAGATCACAGCTGCAATACAAGGAGATCTGCAAGCGGGATCTGAAGGCCTTAGGAATGGTCCTCAACAGATGGGAAACCCTGACCTCCAAGCGTTCAGCCTGGAGGCAGGCGGTGCGTCATGGCCTCTCCCAATTTGAAGAGACCCTTGTCCAGCGGGCTAAGAGGCGGTCCCAAAACCATCAAAACCAGGGAGCAGGACAGGGGACAGATTGTATTTGTCTTCAGTGTGGAAAGGACGGTCACTCTCGAATTGGCCTGTTCAGCCACACTAGACACTGTTCCAAGTCCTCCATACAGACCACATTACCATAGTCTCTCGAGACTGAAGGATGCCTAAATAAACTGAGATCGCTATGTTGAGTTTGGTGGTCTGGATGGGCTCCCCTTCTAGGTGGTGACGCAGAGGGTTAAACCACTTGGTAGGAGAACGTCAACCAGGAGCTGATCAACCAATGACTTGCACTGCATATTAAGTCCCTGGTCCTTCAGATGCGCCCTTAGGGCTGCTATTGAGATGGTCTTATCAGTTGCATTTCTCCCCAGGCCTTGGAGTTCCAGATCATCTGTTTTTGTTTCTGCAGGCGAACCAACATGTTCTTATGCTCACAACTGCCCACCCTGGTACCCTTCAGCTGTGTTGGACCACACTTCCCATACGCCCTTAGCCAGCAACAGCTCCATCAACTCCTTTTCCAACACATCTGGAGAGGTTGTGGGGGGGAGATGCAGCTCTTTCTTATTTGGCTTTGTTTGTCTTTCAGAGTCACCACGCTTCAAAGTTTCGTTGTGTCTTGAAAGTAACTTGACTATATTTGTAGCCTCTCTGGGCTGTCTTCTCTTTTCATGTTTAGATACCTTGGACGTTTGGGAAAGAAGGGATATAAAACGTTTCAAAGAACTAGATCAGGAAGGGATTGTCAGGCTTCAGTTGCTGCCTCGCCTTTTTCCTTAGATTCTCCAAGAGAGTTCAGGAAAACGTAGGATTATCAGAGCTTCGTAGGAGTCTTCCATCTGTTCTGCTTCACGTGCAAAGCAAATGTACCCTAGAAAAACAGGGCAGTGGAGTGGAGAGGGGTTGGAGAAAACAGAGGCCATGTTGTTTTTATATTGAAGCCCTTCCCAACCCTGAGCATGCATGAGGGTCTTGACTGCTCCAGAGGTGCATGAGAATGACACAGTTCCCCATTGCTACTGACGCCATGAGTTACTAGGCTCCCAAATTCACTTGACTCCCATTTTTGCATTGCCAGCTTATACGATGAGCGTTTATGTGCCATAGTAAGTTACCATTTGGTAACTGGTTACCCATATTCATTCTCAACGGAGGAAGTCCCATTACAACCAACTTGCCCCCCACAGGGTATCCCAGCCAACATGGGCCATGATTGCAGATGATGGAAATGGTCACCCTAAACACTTGAGATGCGTAGAATCATCATAGGGTTGGACGGGACCTTGGAGGTCTTCTAGTCCAAACCCCTGCCCAAGGCAGGAGACCTCCTACCATCCTTGACCTCCTACCATCCCGGACAGAAGGCTGCAAGGTTGCATCTGCACGATGGCCTCTTGACTTGGGAGCAAAACTGACATCTGCCTCGCCGTCGGTACAGGACATTTGACTGGCTGGCCTGCCTGCCTTCCGTCCCCATTCCAAACATGGCCTTCCAGCCCTCCACTGTGGTCGGACAAACCCGTATTTACTTCAATCCAAGGCAGATAGCCAACGAAGAATTCATTGAGCCATGCCCTGCTTCTGTCGGTGCTGAGACATAGGGCTCCCCATCTGGTGTGCAAGGCTGGGGAGCAAGAGAGCAAATCCATGGCTGAAGCAGGAGGGGATGAATGTAGAGTCAGGACAACTGCACAGGTTCAGGAAAGAGATGGCACACACTGGTAATAACCAGGAAGCTCATTCGGGACATTTCACTGCTGGCCATGGTGTCCTACTCTTCTGTGGAACTGAGTCACTGTTCTTGGTCGTGGGCTCATCACTATCTCTTCTCTTGGGGTCTTAGAGCTGGGAGCCTTGTGACCCAACAGGAGGCCTGGGACTGCCTGCTTGGGGTATATTCCCAGCGGGTTGTCCCAAAATGTCCCTTGAACACCTTCCCTCCTCAAAAGAGGAGGAAGAAGAGCAGGACACGGTTGCACATTCTTCTGTTTCTGGCACGGGTTTGTCCCGACAGCTTCCACCTCTTAGTGGTTGGATGGCTTTAGTTTGGGTTCATCAGAGATGACACAGGCATTTCGTTGGTTCCCCCAAGTGCGTCCGGATTCCGAAAACCCAAATGCCTCCTTTTTTTAAAGCAGCCCTGTAGGTGAGAACAGAGACAAAAATTTGTTGCTGGTTAGAGATGGCTACGAACCGAAGGACGAACTGGGCTGGTTTGCGCTTCAGTTCGGGTTGGGGGAATCCCGTTTTGGGGAAACAACACAAAGCGTCCGAATCCACCACCCCCTTGGTGCTTTGTTTTTGCTTTGGCAAAATGGGATACCCGCCCCTCCCCCTGCCTGCCTGACCTCCCCCCTATACTAACCTGAATATCCCATACCTAGTTGTGTTTCCACTATGGTTTGACTGCCTGCTCTGGGTCATTTTTCCTTCTCTGGCCCATCATGGACCTCCGCTGAGCAACAAAATATTAAGTACCTTTAGAGGAATGGAGGCCTGCAGGAGAGCGACTAGGTGTTCAGATCCTGCAAGAGAGTGCCTCTATCTAAAGAGTCCTACAGGCAAACATTTGGGGCCAAATTAGCTGTAGTTTTGCCCTGCAGACAAAGCACAGTCCCACAGTTTTTGGGGAGGGTCGATGCTTTGGTGGTAGAGCATGTCCTTTGCATCTGAGAATGTCACCAGTCTAGACCTGGTAACATCTCCATGTTCACCTCCATGTGAAACACCCTTTTCCTGACCTTGGGGTTCCCCTGGTGAAGTCTTCCATCATGAACTCCCAACCACCATGATGGGGGATGTAGCCTGAGAACATCTGGATTCCAAGTCAGGAAAGAATGGTTTGCAAGATCTGAGTATGGCTGAGAAAGACTCAGGGACCCAAAGGCCACCACCAGCCAGGGGTTGACAAATGTGGGCCAAATGTCTGACTCGGTGTGAGACAGCTTCTTATGTTTGGGCCTCCCTAGGAGTAAGGAATGGGATCAAATGGGAATGGTGTTTTAGTCCAGCTGGTGAAAAGCCGGATCCTTTTCTCCTCTTTGTTAACAGAGGACAGGAATACGGAGTGCCCGCCGAGCTTCGTAAACTGGTCTTTTGTTTCTCTCCCACAGGAGGCTGGCCAGGTCGACCTTGTTGCTTATTCCACTCTTTGGGATTCATTACACAGTCTTTGCCTTTTATCCTGAGAATGTCAGCAAGAGAGAGAGGCTGGTCTTTGAACTGGGCCTCGGCTCTTTCCAGGTGAGTGTGGAGCATGCCGAAGGAAGGATGGAAGGAAGGAAGGAAGGAAGGAAGGAAGGAGATTATGGATGGATGGATGGATGGATGGATGGATGGATGGATGGATGGATGGATGGATGGATGGATGGATGGATAGATAGATAGATAGATAGATAGATAGATAGATAGATAGATAGATAGATAGAT